CTGACAAAACAGAAGCCAACTCATTCACTACTGATGATCTTTATTCAAAGACAAACTTCTTCCAAGTCAGAATGGTACTACCTCACCTAGGAGCCCAATACCCTCTACACTGGAGGGCTGTTATGAAAGCTGAGCTGTCTCACCCAGTAGTCACACCACATGCATAGAAGCCCGCTCCTGGGTGCAGAAGGTTAGCCATACTGGTGCATCTACTCACTTTGGGCATTAAATATTTAAAGATGTGTTTTTCCTTAATGGGACCCAGACACATCTGACCAGTTGCTTAGACCATTTAGTAATGTGGTCAAAGTTATCATACTGCTATTTCACATCAACTTTTTAATTAGATAATTCATCACCTTATTAATTCAAAATATTGCTTTCTTTTCTATTTCATAGCATACTACCATCATGAAACCCAACTGAGTTCATTAATCAAAGGCTTCTAAAATTTATGTAAACTTGATGCTCAAGTGACAAACACACTCCTGACCTTTCAAACAACAACAGTCATATCTAGCCCACAAATCAGACCATGCATGGCACTGAAGCCAGACCGGACCGCTATATCCAGAATGCAAGGGATCATAGAATTGAAAAGTGAAGACTGAAAGAGGTTTTTTTTTTTGCTTTTTCCTGTGGTTCTCTGTTTACCAGAGAATAAAAATGGCATAAGAAAGGGTTATTTAGTGGGTTTTCCCCCCATGTATTTATACTTTTTAATAAAATTGTGAAGCTATTGCAAAATATCCCATTGATTATTTAATAAAACTCTAGGTCTTAAAAGTGTAAGATAGCCAAATGAAAATATATAAAACTGACTTTTGCATTGGTCTTATTTCTAACATGGCTGAAAATACAGTATCAGTTATTTATTTGCAGATTACAAATTAGTGATGTTCTTGTTTTAACACATTTTTCACTGTTTCTCCATAGTAGAGGAAATCTTCCCCAGTAAGAATCTACTCAGAATGAAATGGAATACAAGAAGTATCACAAAACCACTTTCAAATCTATGCAATGTACACTGCAAAGCCAGTTGTGGCTCACACAGTAATCATTAGATTTGGGAAAGGTGGGCTTCAGAGGTCACATATGTCCTCCCAAAGAGTGAAAATAATATGCTGCAAGGAGAATTATTATGTTGTTTGAAAGAGAGAGGGAGGGACCATCTTCCCAAACAGATGTGGAGTTGCTAATCAAAAATTTCCTGGAAGCTGCACAACACTGTAAAATTAAACACTACCGCGCAGAGCTCTGCGAACACTAATAGTGGCATATGTTCTGTGGTCAGGAAGGCCACCTTCACTCTTGTTGCTTCCAATTGAATGTCTGTTTTTGAAGCATTCTATGCAACTAGCTCATTTTCTGTTGTATTGCTAGATTTTATCACATTTTTAATCAGTCTATCAAATACATTTTCAGAAAAGTCATAAATCCAGACAACAGGTATATTTTTCTAGAATCATGCAAAATAAACCCAAACGGTATTTTCCCTGTGCAAAAAATAAGCTCAAAACTAGTTTACTAAAAGTTTAGCCTATTAACCATTATTGACAATAATTATGAGACAGAAAACACTAGCCATTCCATGCCATTTGGAACTTATGAGCACTAAAATAATCTTGTAATTTTATTCATGCTCTTAAGATACATATGAGAAAGAGTCTATTTATAGCCTATGATTTTTGTTTCTTGTTCTGTGTTAAGAAAGACTCCATTAAAAATCTATCAAAATGCAAGGGTCAGCCTGTATCCTTATTTAAACGACTTGTTTTTCCCCTTCCCCTCCACAAATTATACCATAATTAAATACAGTGAAAGCAGGGGTTGTACTGTGGGGGAGGGACATACAAAGCAACAAAGCAATAATCTTATAAATGCATTGGAAACAAATGCATGAAGGAATAAAACATTTAAATATATACCTTAGGGTTCATTTTCCTAACATTACCTTATCTAACCTTTTCTGCTTGACTCATATATGTACTAAATATTGCAAATAAAGGAAACCATGGGACCTAAAAAAAAAAAAAAAAAAAAAATCTATCAAAACAAATACACAAATTCAATAACATTGCAGGATACAATTAACATTATTATTTTTACACTCTGATAATAAACTTGCTGAAAAGAAATCATGACTTAAAAACTACTCTTACTAGAGGAAAATGTCAGTTCTTGTTTCAAAATTTCTTCTCATAAGGACAGAAATTCTTGAATCTCAAGAGATACCAGCACTGGGCATGACAGCAAGCAGCCATCTGAAACTCCGGTTTCCAGTCAGTCACAGGCTACGCTCACAGCTGTAGGACAGCACAGGGAGACTTAAAACACTAGTATCTTACACTCAAATACTAATTAAGTAGGGAGGTAGCAGCAGTGGTCACAGAAATTAATAATGCATGTCAGTTAACCTTGCCATTATGGATGAAGGAGACGATATTATTCTTCCCATTTACAGATGGGCACGTATAGGTGGAGAAAATGTCACTGCCTGGGCTGAAGAGTGACAGAATCATCAGACTACTCAGCCTCCCAATTATCTTTCCTCAAACTGTAGTCTACTAACCTTAAGGGTTTATGTCTATGATCAGTAGGATGCATACATTCTCTATTTGTAGCAAATGTTCAAGACCCAATCAGTTGTCCTTCAACTATGAACCCATTACAACATCTACCAGAAATGTGAGATGGTAGACTGGAAGGAACAAGCATGTGGAGGAGGGATAAGGAAGGGGACAAATAGCCACTCTTCTCTGAACAATTTGGAAGTGAGTTGAAGAGGCAAGTCTGGCCTTCATCCTTTTTTTTATTATTATTTTTTATTGTGAGAATACCGTACAGAGGAGTTACAATTACATGGGCAAGATAACACGTACATTTCTTATCAAGCATTGTTGCCTCCTCTTTGTTTCTCCTTCCCATCCCTTCCCATACTCCCCCTGGCCTTCATCTTTATGAGCATATCAACAATAGTGTGCTCACTAACTTCTCTAGATACCTTCTTTGTTAGATAAGCAGTCATTACATTTCATTTCTCATACCTGATACTTGTTTCACTCAGGCACAAGCTCCCAGGAACACACAACCTAAGATATAAACATTTAAAAAAATAGTTTTTCCATTCCTTTACGAACGGAGCAATGCCATTCTTTCTGATGGAAGCATAGAATTCCATTGTGTATATATACCATCTGTCCACTGAAGGGCATATGGGTTGGTTCTATAGCTTAGCTTTGGTAAACAATGCTGCAATGAAATGGTTGTGCTGATGGCTTTAGTGTAGACTGCTATGTAGTCATTTGGATAGATGCCCAGGAGTGGGATTGCTGTGTCAGAGGGGAACTCTATGTTTAGTCTTTTGAGGAACCTCCAAACTGCTTTCTAGAGTAGACAAACAAGTTAGCATTCCCACCAACAGTGTAGTTGCATTCCTTTTTGGCCCTATCCCTGTCAGCATCTGTTATTGTTAGTTTTCTTGATAATGATCTCTCTAACTAGAGTGAGGTGGATTCTCAATTATATTAAGTGAAGTATGCCAGACCCAAAGAAACACAGGTTGCATGGCTTCCCTCATTTGTGGCTCACACCTGTAATCCTAGCTACTCAAGAGGCTGAGATCTAAGAATCATGGTTGGAAGGCAGCCCAGGAAGGAAAGTCCATGAAACTCTTATCTCCAATAAACCGCTCAGAAAACCGGAAGTGGTGCTGTGGCTTAAGTGGTAGAGCACTAGCCTTGAGCTGAAGAGCTGAGGGGCAGCATCCTGGCCCAGAGTTCAAGCCCCATAACCAATAAAATATATACATACTGTTTTTTCTAGGAGATGGGAGGGTTTATTACATGTTTCTTTACTTTTCTCTACATCTGAAAGCATTCACAATCAAAGAGTAAAATAAAATACAAGCTCTCAGAATTCCATATACCTTTGATGAGGGGATAGAGGATACGCAAGAGCTGAGATCAGGGCTGGAACAGATCAGGGACAACACCCAGGCTTTGAGTCTGAACTCCAGGACCAGAAAAAAAAAAAAAAAAGCTGAGAATGTCTATTACCAACACAGATCCTGATGAACACGGAAGAAGGGGACCAAAAGCAAAACAACACAGAATGTATTTGAGGCCAAGGGGAGCTTTCTTCAAAGGCTGAGGGAGATGAGTTCACAATGAACTTACCCAGACTGACATGTGTGTGTGTATGTACACACACATACGTACACACACAAATTCATACCTGCATAAATACACATACCCAGGCACATGTATACACATGTATGCATATAAGCATACATATGAAAGCAGCCACTGTAGGCAGTTAGTGTACTGTGGGTACCCATTTCCTCTGCAAGTTTACAATGGTGGACTCATACTTCTCCAGCCACTTCCAATTTGCTGGATGAGATTTGCATCATACACACATACTATGCTATGAGCTCAGGAGCGCATCCCTGAGATTGCAGGGGACAAAGAGGAGGAAAACAGAGAATAGAAAGAACAGTTTGACGTCTCAAAGAAATTTACGAACAGAAAAGTAACTACAAGTGATAAAAAATTTACTGAAGACTATCTTAGGCAGAAACAACACATCTGGGTCCAACTGACTCTCCAAAGTTCCAAAGATGTGTAAGATCTACTTCTGTAGCAAAAACACATACAAGTGTATGGGGAGAAAGACAGCATATTAAAACTCTGTCAAAAAAAATTATCCTCCTTATCATTGAATTTTCCCTCTATACAATATGGAGAGAATTTCACTGTAACGTGTGATCAAAATTACTGAACAATAAACAAGAGAAGACAGCAAATCACATTTCACATTTAGTAATAGGAAACAAGACACTTTTCATGAATATTAACCACATTTGAACATTCAATAATAATAATAACAACAACAATGCCACAGAATAGCCACAGACTCCACAATGGACAATTTTAGAGAACAAGAGACTAGGGGTAAAGGACTGGCTTGTGACGTAAGAGAGGAAACTGAACACTTACTTTTGCAAAGGCTTCAAAAATGTCAAAGGAAGGTGGCAGCTGAGAAGCATCTTGGATTTCTTCTTTCATGAAATGCTGGAAGGTCAGTACAAGTTGTCTGATTCCCTCCTTCTTATCTTCAGTCAGTTTGTTAATATCTTTTGTAAAAGAAAACAAATGGTACTCAGTAGACACTATGTTGAAAATGAACTATACAATTTGTGGGTGGGGACGGGAGGGAAAAACTGGGAGAGAGCAAAGGAAAAGGTGACTTTGTTTAAAAAGAAACGTGCTCATTACCTGGCTTATGAAACAGTAACCCCTCTGCACAACACCTTTATAATAACCATTTACAAAGGAATGGCACAACTGCAAACTAAATTTTTAGGTGTTCAGTGATGGCTGTTAAACCAGGTATTTCCTGCCTTTCATTCCATTCTGACATCTCTTTTTCACATGATATATACTTTATCAGGTAAATGTTGCCAGACTTTATCTAGAATCAAAGATCAAACACCTATCAAAAAATAAGTGTACATACAGGTAAAGATATATCAAAAAGCAAAATCAGTAAGGTAGTAGATGACCACACCTTCTGCATCATCATAAATCCTAATTAAGGTAGTGAATTTAAACTGACTTTCCCCCATGACATAATTTACAACGAGGTCATGACTAGCTGATAAGTAGTATCATCTGAAAGTCAGAAGACAGAAAGTGAGAAGAAAAAAGTTCAGATAAAGTTCAAGTGAGATTTGTCATTCAGAAAGTACAAGTTCTGCCCACACTGAATACAGTGTTGCTTTAACTCAAACAGAAAAGGATGATTTTGTTTCTTGTTCTGTGTTAAGAGACTCCACTAAAAATCTATCAAAACAAATACACAAATTCAATAACATTGTAGGATACAATTAACATTATTATTTTTACACTCTGATAATAAACTTGCTGAAAAGAAATCAAGAGATTAACTTCATTCATAAAAACTACTCCCAAAACAAAATATATATGGAAAACTAGCCAAGAAAGAAAGAGATCTCTTCAATGACAATTATAAAACCCTGAGGAAAATAATTAAAGAGGATTTTTTTTTTCTGGCCTTGGGGCTCAAACTCTGGGATTGAGCACTGTTGCTAAGCAACTTTTTGCTCAAGGTTAGTGCTCTATCACTTGAGCCACAGTGCTACTTCTGGCTTTTTCTGTGATTAATTGGACCTAAGAGTCTCACATACTTTCTTGCCTAGGCTGGCTTTGAACTGCTCTCCTCAGATCTCAGTTTCCTGAGGAGGTAGGATTACAGGCGCGAACCACTAGTGCCTGGTTAAAGAGAATATTTTTAAATGACTAAAAACATTCCTTACTCATGGATTAGAAGTAATATTGTTGAAATTCTGTACTGCTCAAAGTGATCTACAGATTACATAATCAGCCCAAAGTGGTCACAAAAAAGATGGCACTCCACATTGGCCTAAGAAACATATGGAGCCACAAAAGGCCCTGAGAAGCCAAAGCAATCCTGAGCAAAAAGAAAAAAGTTGGAAGCTTCAGAGTATTTGACTTCAAAACATACAACAAAGCTACAGTAGAAATAACAAATTGGTACTGCCATAGAAACACAGACCAATGCAATGAAACCGAGAAGTCAGAAATCAACCCATAAATACAAAATCAACTGATTTTCAACAAAAGTGCCAAGACTGTACACTGGAGAAAAGACACTCTCATCAATAAACAATACTAGGAAAACTGAATATCTATAATGGAATAATGAAACTAGATCTTTATTCCTCACCATAATGTAAAACTCAACTCTAAATAGATCAAAGATTTAAAGACTAGAAGAAAAAGGGAAAAAGTTCAGGATATTGTTCTGGGCAAAGCCTTTCTTTTAAAAATATGTCCCCAAAATCAGATAAGAAGCAGAAACGGGCAAAGGGATTGCATCAAAGTAAAAAGCTTCCACACAAAGGATATAATCAATACAGTAAGGAGATGACCTACAGAACAGAAAAAAGATATCTGTCAACTATATCTCACAGAGGATTAATACCCAGAATATATAAGAAACTTCAAACAACTCAATAGTGAAACAATAACAACCCAATTTTAAAATGATCATGTGGTCAAAGTAGACATTTTCAAAAGAAGATACATACTGATCAACAAGTATATGAAAAAATGCTAAACATCACTAATCATAAGATAAATATAAATTAAAAATAATGAATTATCATCTTACTCAGTTCAGAATGACCATCAGTTAAAAGAAAAAAAAGTAATAAATACCGACAAAGAATCCAATGTATATCTAACAAAATTAAGAAGATGAGAAATGGGGTAAGTAGCGGAGCAATGGGCAAGAATGTTGAAGAGGGTAACACAGATTAAGATAAACTATACTGGGATGGGAAGATGGCTCAGTGGTAGAGTGCTTGCCTTGCATGCATGAAGCCCTGGGTTCAATTCCTCAGCACTACATAAGTAGAAAAAAAAAAAGCAGGAAGTGGTGCTGTGACTCAAGTGGTAGAGTACTAGCCTTAAGATGAAGAGCTGAGGGACAGCACCCAGGCCCAGAGTTCAGGCTCCATGATACACACACACACACACACACACACACACACACACACACACATGCACGCACGCACGCACGCACGCACGCACGCATGCACGCACACACACAAACTGTATTGATAAACTACTTTGTTAAATGGCAATTCCTTTGTATAACTAAAGATAATAAAAAGGAAAAAAAAAGAGTTGGGAGAAAGAGGAAGTCTTCTATACTGTTGATAGAAAAGTAAATTAATACACTCATTCTGGAAAACAATCATTCAAGAAAACAGTACTATATTGGAGATACCAGCACTCCCATGCCTTACTACACTGCTACTCTCAATACTCAAGATATAAAAATCAACTGTGTCCATCCGCAGATGGGGATTAAGGAAAAATGGTATATAGTTGGATGTCAATGGCTAATGCCCAGTTACTCAGGGGGCCGATATCTGAGGATTATAGTTAGATCTAGCCTGAGAAGACAAAAGACAAATCGATGAGATTCTTATCTCCAATCAACCAGCAAAATGCTGAGACTAGAGGTATGCTATGATAAAGCCACAGCAGTGAGCAATAATGCCAAGTCAGAATACTGAGACCTGAAGCTCAATTCCTAGCACTAGCACAAAGAGAGAGAGAAGAGAGAAATACGCTATATACACCAAAAAAATTCAGCCATAAAAATAATGAAATTCTGTCATTTTCAATCATGCATTGGTAACCAGAGTACACTGTTTTAAATAAACCAAACAGAAAGGAATATCAGACTCATTTTGTCCTTACTAATTAGTGGAAGCTAAAACAGAGAAACTCATAGAGGAAGAGAGTAGTGGTCATTAGTGATTAAGTAGAAAAAGAGCAAAGAGAAGTTAGATAATGGGTACCAAATACAGTTAGACAAGAAGAAACAATACATAGTATGAATGGGTAAAAGTAGTCTATAATTTGTGACAGTTTTCAGAGTAATAATTTTTGGCTATTAATTTAAAAAATAGTCAAAAGATCCAAAGACAAATAACACTTTCCTGGACAAGTATAGTGGCACAACTGTAGTCCTGCACTCGAGAGGCTGAGCCAGGAGAATCATGGTTACACAATGAGAGCCTGCCTCAAACAAAACAAAGCAATAAAAGATAATACTTTGAGATGGAAATGTTAATGCCCTGAATTTATCTTTACAGATTAATATACATACATTTAATTATTGTACCGTACACCATAAATCTGTATAGATACCATGTGCCAACTAAACTGTTATGAAAAGAAGATATGAGGCTCAAGCCAATATAATCCCCTCAAAAATCAGCTAAAGGATAACCAGCATGAAGACTGGGAGTGCATCATATAATTAGTAATATTTAAGAGCATTTCACATAAGGCACGGTGTATAAAAGTGCTGCTGAGCAGGGCCAGTGTTAACAGTAAAACTCACTGTAAGAGCTGTTAATTATCTAGCAGTGATACAAGAAAAAAACGAGTAATTAGCTCTCTATTAAAACTTGAAGAGACACATCAAGTTGAACTATAGCATAATTTTGTTGCTCATGTCAGGTTTGCATATTTTCCTTAAATTACTTGTTCAATAGAATAATTAAACTGATGATTCCTTAAATAATAATTTATTACCATTGGCACTAAGGATCCCATAACCATAAATCTTCAGATCCTTGTCTTATTGGCTCAATCCAGAAATATTAAACTATGTAGTGAATGCACCATATGAGTTCTAACTAGCAGAAATATTAAACCATGTAGGGGTACACTTCATGAGTTCTAGCTAGATTAGGGTTGGAATCATATAGAACCCACATGAAGAGAATCTGTGCCAAAAAGACAGCAAAATAAATCTGGTGTATGCTTAATACTCATGCCTGGAGAGCCTCTCAGCCACCCCTTATAGCCGGAACACACACATGGTAGTTCAGCAAAAGATCAAGTCTTAATACTATCATAGAGCCTCAGTCCCAAGTACCTTAGCATCTAAAGGAGTAGGAACTCCTAAAGCTCAGTGGAATTCCCAGTCCCCTTCCCTACTTCACACACCCTAGACATGACGACAGAGAAAACAAGATGGGAAACAGAAGAAACCTTTGTCAACTGCTCTAAAGTTTATGTTGCCAATGAGCTGCTAAGGTTGTAAGAATGGAGGAAGTGTTTTCCTGTCAATAATCAAGGACCCTAAAAGACTGAAGGTGTATGGGCTAGACTGACCGCCTCAGGGGATGAGAACTCCCAGTTTTAGGGCTCCAGACCTTAGAAGCCCAAGACTGAGTTTTAGGCACTCAGGCAGGCTCACTACTCTGGATTCCACCAGCCCATGTCCCAGCACTGTGTCACTAACAAAATCTTCAGCTCTAAGCAGCAGCTAACAACAACAGCAGTCAGCACCACCTAGCATCACAGTTACCAAGCTTTAGACTTTCACAGCAGTTAACACTGCAAGTCTCAAGCTTCAGATGTTGGAATACACTGCCTTCAAGGTTAGGCAGAACCAGAAAAGGCTTCCAGACACTGGGGCCTGCAGCCCCTCACCTACCACCTCTGCTTTCTCCTTTCTGAAGTCATGTCCACTGCCTTTCTTTCAGTTTCTTTCTTTTGCCTGACACTCTTCAGCCACCTTCTCACCATTGTACTGCTACTCTGTTACCACCAACACTCCTCTTTGTGTTACCAGCTAATAAAAATCACTAGTTAGAAGCCAGGCACCATCAGGCTGTAACCCTCGCTACTCAGGAGGCTCAGATCTGAGGATTACAGTTCCCAACCAGCCTGGGCAGGAAAGTCAGTAAGATTCTTATCTCCAATTAACCTCTCAAAAGACGGAAGTAGAACTGCAGCTCAAGTGGTACAGCACTAACTTTGAGCAAAAGACACTCGAGGGCAGTGCTCAGGCCCTGAGTTCAAGCCAGAGGACTGGCACCAAAAAAATAAGTAACTAAGCAACTCACTAGTTGGTAAGAAAAGTGCATCGAGAAGTCTCTTGTTAGGCCTCATGTTGCAGTTCCAGGTAGTAGAAAGAAGGGTGTCACCTAGCTGCCTAAAAGAGAGCTTAGCAGCCTTGCCAGGAAAATGAGTGTTGCATGGGCGTGAAAGCCATACTGGAAGCTATGCTGCGATTAGAGGAAAGGATTGTATTTGTACCAATCACAACACAGCTTCCAGTTCCACCAATCAAATTCTCACTGAGTTACCACCTTAAGTGAGAATAGCTGCAGGGTCTTCTAAAGGTCTCAAAAGTTTGTTTTGCTTGGGATGCTGCATTCTAAGTCCAATACTGTTTTCTGGAGTGGTCCTGATTAAAATGCAGTCCCCAGAGCAGGAGTGGGGTCTCCACTGCAGTGGTCCTGGCAGCTTGAATGTCCTCAAACTGATCATAAAGTATCTAGAATAGCCTCACTGCCATGAGGACAGCCCAGCCAAATGCCAGAGAAAGAACAGCTTGGACAACAGGCCTCCAGGTATAAGGAAAGCATCTATCTACTGCCATTAGAGAGTGAATGGCCTTTCCTAGAGACTTCCACTCATTCATAGAAAAAATGCACTGTGAGGTGTTTATAATAAAGAGGTAACAAAAGCTCAACATAAAATTAGCATCCTCAAAGCCTGAACTCCTGTCCCGCTGACCCAGACAGAACTGGGTCCCTCTGAACTGTTATACTACTCCACTTACGCTGGACACCTTTATGGTGGTTTAAACACTTATTTACACATTCCAAACCCAGAAATCAACAAAATACCAAACTTTTCTTAGGTTTACCTCACCTGATGAACAGAAAAACAAAGTTAAAATTAAAGCATTTTCTCAGAGGTAGTGTATTATTGAGGCACTGGATTCAATAGAAAGAGGACAGAAGGAGAGGGGGAGGGGAGCAGAAGGGAGAGAACTAGGGAAAGAAAAGTTCAGCAGCAGGACAAACAAATGAGGATTTTTTTTTTTAATGTTGATGGATGGCCACTTACTTGACTCCAGATCATAAAAAGAATAAAGTTTCTCTGATTCTGAGGGTGCTTCTTCCATCTATGAAGGAAAGAATGAAAACAATGTGTAATGTTCCCACATCATGCATTTGCATCCTTGACAGGAACCGTCTAAAGAAGACTGCTAAGTGAGCTGTTCTCCCACCCTTTTTGCTTTCTAATCACTTTCAAGATACGGTTTCCACTTTTGCCCAGGCTGGCCTGGGCCATGATCAAAGACCTCTAAACCCAGCCTCTCCTGTTCAGATGGGGTCTCACATAGTTTTTGCCCACGCTTAGAACTATGATCTTCCCAGTCTTACTCTCCTTCCAAATCTAAGTCCCCTAAATAGCTAGGATTTAGGATTATAAGTAAAAGCTACAAGTTCAAGGCTCTGTATTACATTTTGATTACATTTGAATTACTTAATCATAAATAATGTTAAAATCAAGCTTGTAACCAGTGCAAACCAAGTGCAAAATTGTTTTATAAGACATTTAGAGACTTTAACATTGTTAAAGGCATCTATAAAATTTCAAGACTGCCAAAAGAAAGTTGATAAACAAAGACAAGAACAGAACTTGTTGTTGTGTGGGGATTTTTCCTGATTATTTTTAGAACAGTCTTTTTTCCTGTCCAGGTGCACACATGAGCTATGATCTACCTACTTTAGGCTTCCCACCACACACCACTAGGTGCAGCTTCCGTTCCTTGAGAGGGAACCTCACAGACTTTCTGTCCAGGCTGACTTCAACTACCATGATCATCCCTCCTTTGCCCTCCCCAAATGGGAAGGCTATAATAAAACCGAGAAAGATATGCATGCTAAATCCTAACCCAGCAACCTGGGAGGCTGCTCGAGAGCAGAACTGCACAGAATCTGATGCTTTGGTACTCTAAAAGGGCTTAAAAGAAATCACTTTGCTGAATCAGAGGTACATTTTTTTAAGATTCTTCAACTGAATTACTAATTAATATCACACTTGAAGAGGCAACAAAAAAGCCCTATGTGTCCTGTGCCTTCCCTCACAGTAAGAAGGTAAAAAAAAAGTAACAGCTACTAACTACTAGCATTTATAGTCCAAGTATCTAATAGGAAAGAGGGGCTGTACTCTTCTTCATTTCACCAGTACCATGACTATTAGAAAAACGTTTTTATCTTAAGATAGTACATGGAATAATCCACACTTTACCTTAACATGGGTTCAATTTCAACCTTACAAATGAATAATAAATTCAAGCACAAATGCTTTGGCTAAGATAAAATGGGAGCCTCTGTCACAAGTCAGATACTCACAAGTTTGAAGACAACTCTGCCAAGAAGTCTCACGGAGTCAGGAGGATATCTGGGTTTGCAGCTTTTCAGGCATTTGCATTCCCCCTTGTGGTGTGGCCAAGCTTTTTTCTATAAGATAAGAATATAGAAGGACATCAGAGAAATAAAATGTAATCTCCATTTGTACTGGTTTCAAATGTTGAGAAACATTAACATGAATTGAATTTCAACAACCTAACTATAACTGCAACTCAGAAAAATGTTCTAGTACTAAAGGGGGAGAAGGAGATACCGTAGATGGTTGACCTTTCACATGGAATCATACACAGTGTCTTAATGTTTAGCACTGACAAGAGTAAATAGCCAGACTGTCTTGTATATTCTATTCTAAAAGGTGGAAGTTGCATTTGAAAGTCCACTCACTGTGATTTCATAAAATTTAACTCTGCTTCCCTGCAGAAAGGTTTCTCTTGCTTACACTTATTGCACAAACACGCAGCAAGCCAACGATTTCAGACCCTACAGCCACTAAGAATCTGACTCAGACTTAAGTTCAATTCAGCATTTTGCTCAGAAAAATTCTCCATCAAGTTGTTGTGCCTCCATCCTCATGCTATTTCCTAGTTTGACAGACATAGTGAAAAACTAGCATCACTCCTTCCACCAATGACACTAACAGTGGAAATTTCCTTACTGTGAGGCTTGCAATCTTCCCCTCCATTATTATTCTTTAGTCTCTTCTAAACTAGATTTAGCTAGATCCATGTAGAGTACATGAAATAAGGTTGTGGGGGAAAAAAAAAATGTAGAACTTTAAAGTAGGAGGAAAGTCTTACAGAACTTACTTAACATTCTAGAACATGCAGGACATGTGCCTAGGGAAATAACAGAATTTCACTTGACTTCCACAGTAATCAAAATGATAGACATGATCTTCATATTAATGATAGACATGATCTTCATATTAATGACGAGGAAAGTTAAGGATCAAGGCCTAGGATCTAAATATCAAAGTACCAAAAAATGAAAAGGGAAAGTAAAATCCCTTAGTATGCTAATCATGAGTGTTAAATAACTACCAGGCTAGTACAAAGCATGCATAAGTTGCCTTACAGCCAACGCAAAAAAAAAAAAATTGGGGCTGGGAAGGTGGCTCAGTGGTAGAGCACTTGCCTTGCATGCATAAAGCCCTGGGTTCGATTCCTCAGCACCACATAAGCAGAAAAGGCTGGAAGTGGTACTGTGGTTCAAGTGGTAGAGCACTCGCCTTGAACTGAAGAGCTGAGGGACAGCGCCCAGGCACAGAGTTCAGGCACCACAACGGATTTTTTTTTTTTTAATGTACATAATCTCTTTTGACAGAAAATTAAAATGCATGGTTTTACCAATAATTAAATCAGAGGAGGAATTTATCCCAAGGATGCTAGTCAACACTCTGCAGTCTTTAATAATACTTAAAATAAATTACAACTACAATGCCTTTCACATAGCTACATCCATTATCAATACCTGTAATATGCCAGGCACCAGTGGTTCACGCCTGTAATCCTAGCTAAACAGGAGGCTTGAGAATTGTGGTTTGAGGCCAGCTTTGGCAGGAAAGTCCAGGAAACTCTTATCTCTAATGAACCTTTAAAAAAGCCAGAAGTAGAGCTCTGTCTAAAGTGGTAAAGCATCAATCTTGAACACAAAAGCTCAAGGACAGCATCCAGGCCCCGAGTTCAAACCCCCAGCCAGGATGGGAGTGCGCACACACAGGTGCGCATGCACACACACAATGATAGAAAGATCCACTGTTAAGTAAGTTTGAAAAACACAAACTTGCGTAGACCCTGCCTGTTAAAATATATTCAACTTACAAAAGGTTCAAAAACTGTGCATTAAAAAAATCTGTACATATTTTCCATATACTTTCCCATGCCTGCCACTGCCAGCCTTAGGAATGTTCATGTATGTACTCTGTTACCTAGTTTTTGAGTGAAAATATTCTAAGTAGACAAATGCATGATCTTTTATACTAATAAAAAAACTCAAAGTGTTGGTGGTTTTTACCAACCTTCTATGGTTTAATTAAGACTGATCATAACTTTGCTGGGCAAGTTTCCCTTCGGTGATAAAAGTGGATTAACCTGGAAGACACCCTTCATGAGCACGCTGTGGCAGGATTGAACAGGGGTCAGCAGGCCTGGAATGGTGCCTTTGACACTTGTACTATTCCCAGAGCAACTGTCTAGCTGAACAGGATTGCACTCAGTCAAGTAGGACAGGGCCTGTTAGGAAAAAGGATTTTTAACTGTAGGTTTTAATCAATGTCTGTCTCACAAGAGACCAGACATAACTCTTTTCCTGCTCAACCTCTAAATTCAAGCAGCTCAGTTTTCTGGTAGCTTACTGGGGTAAAACATCTACAAATGTATCCCAGATAATGAACCATCAGGTAGATGACATTGTTAAACATACAAATTTTGGCGAAATCCTGTCAAAAGTGACTTTAGGGCTTTAAAATAATTAATACTCAGCTCTTATTTCTCAGTAATAGAAAGTAGACAAAATGTTCCTGAAAGCTATTCCAGAATCACTGCATAAAAACATCAGGCAATACACTTATCTTCCCATTAGCTTGAGAGAAAAAAAGAAAGAAAGAAAAAAAAGTTCATTCTTTTCATTTAAAAGCCAAATCAGACCATTTAGGTATAAATACAGAAAGTGAGCACACCACTGGAAAGTGGTCTTTTTTTATAATTCTGAGTTTCAGCCTATTCCATTTCTTAACATGGCATTAAAAACCAGGCATTTATAACATTAATTGTTATAGAGCTATTGCTCAGCTGCTTACCACTGCTTACACATCTAAACATATCACAGAAAAGACTAAGAAATCCTTTAAGCAAACCCATTTAACTAAAGCAAAAGGTGGCAATGAAAACATTAGGTACTATCTTCATTCTACCAACTGTACCTCAGTGGTACATTGGTCTTGTAAACCTGCCAGTTTCTCAAAAGATATATTCTTGATTTGTTTCCTGTGTTTTTTTTCTTTACTAACAGTAGAGAATACAAATAAGATTTTGTTCACAAAACTGGCTGTGATGTTTTCTCAGCTGAAATTCACAACAATGCACAAAAAGCACAAACTGGCATGGGAGACAAAGGATATTAAATTTTTTCATTACAAAGCAAAAGATACCAGCAAGAGGGGGATGGGGACTACCAGTGGTCATGGAGGAGGGGATGAACCAATCACAACAGCCACATGGATGAGACACATGGATGAGATCATCACAATGAAGCTCATTATTTTTATAATACAAGAATCTCAAAAAAATACAAAAAGTATGCAGTGACACTACTGGAAACTTTTAAAAAGTGTAAAATTTTATAGCTAAACCGAAGCAAAAAATAATAGGAGATAAAAGAGTTTAAGAGAGGATAAAGGAACTGAAAATATCTGCTACAATTCCATATGTCAGGACATGCATGATTTGAAAAACAACCTCAGAACTGACAATTTCCAGAACTCTCATTTAGAACTTTAACCACTCCCAGTTCCTGGCTGGGGGGTGGGGGGTGCCAATACTGAGGGTCGTCTGGGAAACGTCTGTGGGTATTATGTCTGTCACTTGCTTGCACAGGGCTGGATACCTGGTGAGCAGGACGGAGGGGCCAGGCCTCCTGGGCGTAGCTGTTCCACACGATAAAAACTGGTTCCAAATCCACCACAAGCTTGAAGTGTCTACCACACATTCCATGAAGGTAGAAACCTTTTTGTGGTTATTTGAGCCTAGAACCCAGCTTTCTTTTACTTGCTTCTACATACAGCACTATTTTTTTTTTTTTTGTAAATCATGGGAATATAGCATTTTAAGAACTTTACCTGACATTCATCAATGTTTCCTGAAGTCACAGCACTGAAGGTAATACCTCCTGTCATATTTGAGGAACAAGTGGGCATTTGTGCAACCTTCTCACAGTGACCATGTACATCTGAGCAAGAATATAATGTGTTTATAGGTGGTCAAGCCTGAACATTTACATAGAACAATATGTACCATTTTAGACAATTTAGTAGCAAATAAATAATGATTTTCTTTTATGTTTTAAAATTTTCAATGTTGAATACAGGTTGTCAGATACATGAAGAGCTGAAAAGCTAAGATCTAGGAAAAGAAAAGTGGAAAGCTAACCAGGATGTCTAGCAGGTATAACTGACAGGTACTGATTTGCATAAAACCTCCTGAGAGCATGCTAGAGAGTCATGTAGAGTGTAAAACACCTACTGCATGCTTCTCTCATGAACAGCAAGAGCACCCTGACACAACCTTAGCCGAATTAGACAGAACCAAACATAAAGGAGTGAGGCAGAGGGATGGCCACAGGGCATCAAGTCATCAGAAAAATGAAACATTCCCATATTTTCTTAGGAAAAGGAAATTTCAGTCTTCTGGTTAGCCAAGGATCCACATAATACTAAGCAATAATAATAGTGATATTGGTGATCTGCAGAAGTCAATCATCATCCAGTGCAGGGCAGCAGTTTACAGCCCACAAGTCAAATCCACCTGCCCAACTTATTATGACGTTGTACTGAAACACAGCCACACTTGTTAGCTACATTTATTCATTTCATACCACAAAAGGGCTGGATAAAAGAAGCCATATGGCCCACAGAAAAAGTGTGCCATATGATCTATGGATTAACTTAATTTATCCAGAGAACAAAGTAAATCATTCCCTTTGATGGAATTCCAATCCTGTTTGAAGGAAACCTCTAATCAAAACATTAACACCAGAAAGGGCATCTTCATTCCATTTCCCCAACACAGGTAATTGTTAAGTTTCAAACTCCCAAAGTCAACTGGAAGATTCATCAGTGATGAGGGTGGCTTCATCTCATTAGAAAGCCCAAACTATGGTGAGACCGCGGCCTGCAGAAACAAGGCAGATGAAGTCACCAAGGGCTGCTGCCACCGGGCCACTCCTGAGCTAACTTGCCAGGCCACACTCAAGCAAGGACGGAGAATAAAATCTATGTGGCAGGCAGAGCACAGGACAAAAGTATGAGCTAACCAAATACCTGCATACCAACGTGTCTCAAAAAACACCCTCCTACTATTGGCATGATTCAGAGG